CAGGTAGCCTCCTCCATGGGCCGACCTCTCCACTGCACTTTCACTGAAGTTATATCCTTTGACCTCAACTTCCGAACCTGGCGACCCAAAATAGCTACTGGCTCCATATCAAAGGTCAAATCATCATCTAACTGAACCGTGCTGAAGTCCAAAATATGAGACAGATCCCCAATATACTTCCGGAGCATAGAAACATGAAATACCGTTTTTACACACTCGACAGGCTAGGTGGCAAAGCAAGCTCATAAGCCACCTCCCCAATCTTCCGAAGCACCTCAAAAGGCCCAATGAACCGAGGACTCAACTTGCCTTTCTTCCCAAACCTCATAACACCCTTCATGGGCGAAACCTTCAGCAAGACCTTCTCACCGACCATGTAGGACACATCTCGAACCTTCCGGTCTACATAACTCTTCTGACGTGATTGCGCTATACGAAGCCTCTCCTGAATTACCTTTACCTTCTCTAAGGCATCCTGAACCAAATCTGTCCCCAATAGTCTAGCCTCGCCGGGCTCGAACCAACCAACCGGATATCTACACCGCCTCCCGTACAAAGCCTCATATGGAGCCATCTGAATACTCGACTGGTAGCTGTTGTTGTAAGAAAACTCTGCAAGTGGTAGAAACTTATACCATGAAACTCCAAAGTCAATAACACAAGCACACAACATATCCTCCAATATCTGAATAGTACGCTCGGACTGTCCGTCCGTCTGAGGATGAAACGTTGTGCTCAACTCTACCTGAGTACCCAACTCTCTCTGCACGGCTCTCCAAAACTGTGAAGTAAACTGAGTACCTCTATCTGAGATGATGGAGACCGGAACACCATGCAACCGAACAATCTCCCGGATATAAATCCCTGCAAACTGCTCTGAAGAATAGGTAGTACACACAGGGATGAAGTGCGCAGACTTGGTCAGCCAATCCACAATCACCCAAATAGCATCGAACTTCTTCAAAGTCCGAGGAAGACCACTCACAAAATCCATGGTGACCCTCTCCCACTTCCACTCGGGAATAACTATCTGCTGAAGCAAGCCGCCCAGTCTCTGATGCTCATATTTCACCTGCTGACAATTAAGACACCGAGCTATAAATCCCACGATATCTTTCATCATTCTTCTCCACCAATAGTGCTGCCTCAAATCCTGATACATCTTCGCGGCACCCAGATGAATGGAATACCGCGAGTTATGGGCCTCCTCCAGAATCAACTCTCTAAGCCCATCCACATTGGGCACACAAATCTGGCCCTACATCCTCAACACACCATCATCACCGATGGTCACATCTCTGGCATCATCATGCTGGACTCTGTCCTTAAGGACAAGAAAATGCGGATCATCATACTAGCGCTCTTTGATACGATCATATAAGGAAGACCGAGAAACCACACATGCCAACACCCGCCTGGGCTCCGAAATATCCAATATCACGAACCGATTGGCCAAGGCCTGAACATCAACTGCAAGGGGTCTCTCCCCAATTGAAATATATGACAAACTCCCCATACTCACTGCTTTTCGGCTCAATGCATCGGCCACCACGTTGGCCTTTCCCGGATGGTACAGAATAGTGATATCATAATCCTTAAGCAACTCCAACCATCTCCGCTGCCTCAAATTAAGATCTTTTTGCTTGAACAAATGTTGTAGATTGTGATGATCAGTGAACACCTCACAAGATACGCCATACAAGTAATGCCTCCAAATATTCAATGCATGAACT